TTTATTGTATGTGGCTATTGTTCGGGATGAACAATACTAAGGAGAGGGGCAGTGTTGCATCAGCGAGGTCTAGTGTCATGCCACGTTTTCTAGAAATATCCTGTTCCTTCAAGAATGCCCTAGCATTTACTAGATATGTGTTAGTTTTGTATATATATATATATATATATAAGACGGTCACAACATGACGGGGACAGTGCAATGAGTAATTGAATGTATGCGGATAAAATATTGTTGGCCACGTGAGATGCGAGCGTTTGTTATAGAGCGACTGTTGAAATTAAGTGTACCGTAAAGTTATATTGAGAAAGAATAAACCAGTTTTATTTAAGAAAGGACTTGTGTCGCTAAAGTTTCGTTGGAACGAAGTTACGGAAAATTAACTAACGAACAGAGACATAACAATATCATAAGCAGCGAGAAAGGAGAGATCTTGGTGATATGCCAACAGGATTTATTGCTTTTTTTGTTAACATGTGTACTAACTCTTACTTGATCTATTGTGTTGGAAAGATGAAGCATTTTTTACTGAAAGAACAGCTTATTCTAGATGTAGAAGCACTCATCACGGCTATGAGAGTGTGTAGGTAAGCAAGGACAACTGGAGTTATCGACGTGGAATTTGGCAGAGACCAGCACCAGCTCTGGTCCAGACTACAAATGCTCAGCTAAAAACTGGACATGCCACTAGTGGTAACCTCTGCCAGTTAGAGCTGTTTCCTTGGCAAGTAAGACAATGAGCGCCACATAAAAAAGCCAAGACAGTCATTAGTTTGTGAAACCAATGATTGAAAACAAGCAACATTCCTTGCTTTCTGTTAGTAATGTCTGTCAAAATGTACGGAATAAATTACTCGATTACTATTCGGTCATCAAAGCTAGGTCAATCATTTGGTCAAGCACTTGATGATTTGAAAAGGAAGTGGCTTTCTTAGAGTAATTAAGTGATGCAAACTAAAATGTATGCACTATATCGTGAGATTTCTACTTGATTAACAGCTAGGACAATCATGTGATTGAAAGGGTGTTGCGATTCATTGGTTTACAAGTCACTGATGCAAAATGATGTTTGGAGTTTCAATTGAATCACTCCCATATTCCAGTTGAGTGGTGAAAACTCTACAAAGCATGCTGCCCTGTACTCACCACATTTTTGTACCTATTTGCTTGGAACATATGCCAGGTCTATGAGAGAGTTGTGTTTCCTGTGAAAAGCAGTGATCAACATCAAGACCACGGAGACAAAGGATGATTTTAATTCAACATTAAGAATTGATAAGATAAGGTTATCTATGATAACTGAGCTGGAAAGTATTATTGGAAAATGTACCTGTTATTTTCAATAATAGTAGTAAACAAACATTTAAATTTTGACGTTAAAATGTTCAGTAGGTAGTGAGATTTCATAGAAAAGATAGTTAATAATGGTTATACAGCTTAGTTTTGTTGTTGTTACACACAAAGCTACACAATGGGCTATTCGTACTCTACCCACCACAGGTATTGAAACCCGATTTTTAGTGTCATAAGCCTTCAGACTTACAGCTGAGCCACTGGGAGGAGGGGGTACAGTTATAGAGAAGCACATAATTTTACTACACCACCATTTTACCGGTTGTTTTTCATACCATAGAGCATAAAATATTTTGACTTGATCAAGTTGAAATAATGATGAGCAGGTGAACTTATCAGTAGTAAATAAACTTCACAGATGGTGGCTTATATATCTAAAACATATACAAATGGTGTACCCAGTGTGTTTTAGTTTTGAATTTTGCACAAAGCTACTATCTTCACTAGCCATCCCTAATTTTGAAACGATAGACTAAAATTAAGGCAGCTAGTCAACACCACGCACTGCCAACTCTTGGGCTATTTTTTACCAATGAATAGTGAGATTGACCATTACATTATAATTCCCCCACAATTGAGAAGATAAGCATGTTCAGCGATGGGATTAGAATATGTGAGCCACAGATTATGAGTCGAGTAGCCATACTAGGATTGTATCAATCTAATGTTTAAAGAGTACTTAGTTAGCTTTTATATTCTAACTAAATTTCAAATAGATGTTTTATAGTTGATGTTTTTAAAAGATTCCAAATGGTCATAAAAAATAATCACCAAAACTACCAAAAGGCATTTTGCATATGACATTAATGCTAAATTGTTTATTTTTTCTTACCAATTTACATTTTATCAGGATTATCACCAGGCTGACTGTTTTGAAAGAAAGAAAACTTTATTTTTCATGGAAAAAATTTTGTGGTGAAAACCACAATGGCAACAGCAGTGAGAAAATCTACCAATATTTTTAAGGAATTACACACCAGTAATCTTAACAGAAAAAACTTGTCATCTTTCCAGGGACTGTGCTTATTGGTAAATATTAGTATTTTATCAATAAACACTTTAAAGGACATGAAAAATTTACTACAAATAAAGAGAAGAAAAGCAAAATGTTGCGAATCATTTTTGATGAGATGTTTAACTGTATTTTGTTCAATAAATGTATTATTCAAGATATACAAAGGATCCAGTGACCAAATGCAAAAGCTCAGAACATTATGCTCTCTCAGACTCTGGCTATATGTGCTTAAGGCAGCCAATAGCTAAGTGTCTTACAGAACATTATGCCCTCTCAGACTCTGGCTATATGTGCTTAAGGCAGCCAATAGCTAAGTGTCTTACAGAACATTATGCCCTCTCAGACTATGGTTATATGAGTTTAAGTGGCTTAGTCTTGGAGAAGCTGTGAAAGTTAGCTTGCCAGTACTTATTATGAAACTAGAAGAGGCTCGAGGTAAGAAGAATACAACTGATACTTAACAAAACACTTACTATCATATCTATCACACCTCTTGGATGATGTTATTCCTGTTATCAACCATTTCTCCAATGTTAGACCCACTGACACATATTGACAACCCCAGGCCAGAACATAGTTTTATCTGGAACAACACTTGTTGACTACCCCCAAACCGGAAAATAGTTTTTCCTGGAGTGAAACCAGCAAGGAAATGTATTTTAAACAGTTACCTTTACTCTAACCTTTATACAAGCTTGCAGTGAATTTAATGTTCATTGGAGAGACTTCCCTCTCAAACTGACAGAAATTTCTGCTCTCACTAAAGGTTTTTTCATGTTAAATGCTACACTTCTGCTGACTGACTGCCATGCATTTACTTTGTCAGCAAGAATACAGAAAATGTACATTTGAAACTACACTCAGAACTTCTTTTTTTCAATTTCCAGATTTTCAACTGTTAGAAATGGTTGCACTGAAAACTCCAGTTTCATCAATGGCTGCCACAAAAGACTTTAGCACACAAAATAGGATCAAAACAAAACATCAGAACAGACTGGTGATAAATTTACCAACTGATTGATTCTTACACAACAGAATAATGGTGATAAACATTTACCTTAAGAGCAGTTCAAATACTTAATCAGAAATTATGGAAGATTTAAGTGCATTGTTTTTTAGTGTTCTCTTTCATTTTGTTTTTGTTGCATTTTTTGAAAAATTTAAACAGGAGTGGGAATTGGTAAAATATTTGTAGGACTTAAAAAATGCTCATCTTCCATGGAAAAGATAAAGCCTAACACGATCGTTTTTTTTCTCTTTATCTGGCATACACGTCAAATGTTGAGATTAGTAGAGCAACTCTTCTTATATAAAAACAGGTGAAGTTTAAACTTTTCTTCCTGTCAAGTGCAAATTAATTAAATATCCAGAATAAACAGTAACACTTGAAGACACACAAAGAAATTTTTGTTTTAATTTTAAAATTAACAAGGTAATATAAAAATGACAATAGTAAAAATAACACAAAAGTCTTTCATTTCTCCTAAAACATGTCATGTACTGCTAGTTTGAATCATACTCACTATCATTTAACATAAACAGCAAACAATTCAGAAACCCCACAATTGTTAACAAAATATGCAAGACAGCCTTCACCTTTTGGTACACCAACTACTAGTGATGAAAAATGTATACAAAGTTTCATATCTGCCTCCTATTTTTTTTGGCTTTCTTAATTGGGTTAGTAATCTCAGGCTAAATCAAAACAACAGAATGATACATAATAATCTAGCATCAATAAAACAACAGCCATTAAAAGCAACATTCGTATAAAACCTTTGTATTGACCTGCAGTAAAAAACAAATTAGAAAATACTTGTTTAATATGGTATAATCTACCCCAAACACATAGCAGTTCATGATATAATCATGTATATAGATAACATGTGATCTGATTTCTTGAATTGTATAACAGTTAACAGAAAATTTTAGCCTAATATTAAAAATTCATGATTTTTGAAAATATATTTATCAGTTAACTGAAACCTTTTTCTATTAAAAATATATTTCATTGTTTAAACCAATCAAGAATTTTACAACCCTTACTGTATAATACAAAAAAGATAGGAATGAACACAAAAATAAAGAAGAATGTCCCGAGCCATTAGTTTCATCAATAAATAGTCATTTCTTATCAACAAAAACAAACTCCAAATCAGAGTGATTTCATCTGAGCCATCAGTTCTTCCAGGGATTGATTACTTTCTTGTACACTTTCCCCTTGAGGTTCCTTTCAAATATGAAAAAAAGTGTCAGTAAAATACCACTAAAGTCTTCGAATAATGATGTTTACTTAAAACTATTATTGCAAAGGTATAATAAAACATTATTAAAACATAATCCCGAGCCATTAGTTTCATCAATAAATAGTCATTTCTTATCAACAAAAACAAACTCCAAATCAGAGTGATTTCATCTGAGCCATCAGTTCTTCCAGGGATTGATTACTTTCTTGTACACTTTCCCCTTGAGGTTCCTTTCAAATATGAAAAAAAGTGTCAGTAAAATACCACTAAAGTCTTCGAATAATGATGTTTACTTAAAACTATTATTGCAAAGGTATAATAAAACATTTTTCACATAGTTATGATTACTTTATAATAAGTTGGTTGCATTAATCACACAAAAATCCTCAGTAGCAGAATCTTGTTAGAAACTCCACTCAGGAAATGTGCCAACAAACATATGAAAAAATGTTATTAAATAAATGTGAAAATTATAGATCACACGATATTATAGAAGTTGAGTATGTTATAGTAAAATAATTTTGGAGCCTCACCATATTGTAACATTCTATGCCAACACATCTGGTTATGCTCTATCTGATGACATTACACCTTGAAAATAGCTATGCAGTGTAGTTTCCTTTGCAAAAGATTACACCATAAAGATATCGCGTACAAAGCAAACCATTCATTCCCAAAGCTTTCCATACTCAATCTAGTGTACAAGGATGACAGTTTCACAGGACCCATTTCAACAGTCCATATGCAGATAAATCTACAGATGTTGTGCCTGGCGACTAGACTAGTATGGAATAGCATGAATATCCATTTCATTTCCTAGTTTTTTTAGATATAAGACAGTTGAACAGATATGTGCTGGAGGCAGCTAAACTTACAAGTGACTTATGTCACTTTTCTAGATGGAGATCATTTCTCATTATGCTGCATCCTTTTGTCTGGAACATGCAAATGGATTGTACCACTGACCTTTATGTTTAAAAATTCTCACCTGTTAGAAGACATTAAATTCCGGATCTTTATGACACGTGTATGCATATTTTGCATCAGAAAACCTGTTACACACATCCTTCTCAAAAAGTGACCAATTTTCAGTAGCATCACACTGCCCATCAAATACTAAACAATGTCAAAATGTTGTTCTAATATATTTCATTACATCACAACATTATATTGGCTGTGGTTGTTACATAACTTGCTGATTTGCAGCTCAAAATTGTTTTAACATAATGTACTCAACCTCTGTATATTTAAAACTGAAAACAGAACAGAAAGTATTTCTATCAAGTCCCCCCCCCCCAAGACTAGCAGAGGCTAGCTTCACAGGGGAACTAGGGTTAGAACGGCTGTTCCTTTCAATATGTTGGTCAGATCATAGTCCATGTATTGATTACAACTGAATTCTATTTAAGTGCATAAAATATAGCAACTAAAGAAAAATTTAATAAAAAGACAAGCATTTACTTATTCATTCTGTAAAAGTTAACTTGGAACTGTCTTTCTGTCTAATAAAAACATGCTAATCTATTTACTAAATAAAAAGGCACTGTATGTATACTTTATTTAACATAGAGTGGATCACTGTTCAACTAACAGTAGTTAAGCACATTGTTCAAAATTAGATACTACTTAATCATAGCATCATTCTACTCTGTCATTTTTCTCAAGCTAAGATCTTTCATTAAAAAAAAAAAAGATCTAAAATATACCCATCATTTATGCATTTATTGGTTTAGTACAAAATGCAAATGCTTTGAGATTAAATAGAAAATACAAGTGTCAGTATTAGTAGAATTCCCGTCAAGACACAAGATTTAATGTCAACCAATTTCTCACAAAGATACAAGTGTTAATATTAGTAGAATTCCAACCCAGATACTAGTGTTAATATTAGTTGAATTCCAATCATATACTAGTGTTATGGTGTGAAAATCTTTTAGAAGTTGATGAAACAGGATTATAATTAATTATAGGCCTTATTATATTTCTTAACACTACATTCTTAATCTAGTCCCCCTTAGGAATTTTCCAGAAATAGAAAAATATATGATAATAGTATTTTTTACACATCCCTAAGGGACTAGATAAAGAATGTAATGTATAAAAACATCATAGGCCTAACATAATGTCTTATGTCAAATATAATCAAGTATTAATATCAGTAGAATTCCCAGGAAGAAACAAATGTCTATATATTTGAAGAATTTTCACAAGATACAAGTGTTTGTATCAACAGATGTCCCACCTGCAAGCTGCCAATTACTCATGTCTTAGATAATTTCTTGATATATATACAATTATCACTATTCTTTACGGTTTGTGGTTATTAATGATTTACCTGAGTAGAAGCAGGCTTTGTGTAAGCTAGTGTAACTCCTTCTACAAGACCAGGTACAGTTTCTCCTTCAGACATCCTGAGCTCTTCTTCAGTAGTTTCAGAAATAACAGAAATCCCTGATAAAAAAAACAATGAAAAAGAATTCCTAGGTAATAAAAAAGGCTCATTTATACAGAAATATTTAGAGTTCTATTTAAGAATGCATAAGCACAGCTTAATCTCTAGTGAATCATGATTTGTTAAAGTGAAATGCTTTTAGAGAAAACTTAGTCTACAGTTTAATCATAAGGCACAAACTGAAAGGTCTACAAGTAAATGTTTTAAAACTTAAAACCTTCACAAAGCAAATAAAGCATTTAACAAGAACTTAGTAAGAAAATTTATTTTTGCACCCCAGTCATTCTCTTCATGTACTATCTTCTCTTCCTCCTTTGCTTTCAATGTTTCCTTAGGCTTCAAGGCTTCTTTTTCCTAAGGCAGTGAAGAAAATTGAAGTACTAAATATTATTATATAAAATTGTTAATTAAAAGCTTTGAAAAAAAAAATCAAACACTCCAAAATATAAACAATTTATTAAAAAAATCAATCAATCAAATACAATCTAATTAAAGTCTACAACAGTTTTAGAAAGTTTTTTTATCATTAAGAATATTATATTACTAGCAAAAGTATCCAGCTTCACTCAGGTTATGAGGTTGATTGTGTGTGTATTTTGAATCAATTTTAGCATAAAAGTATAACCTATATACGTTTGTTGCTAAGCAACATGACATATAAGCCATTGTTGGAATGCATTTTTACCAAAACACAATGGCTTTTCTATATATTAGAAGTTGTTATATAAGAAACCACTTCTTTTCTATGTGGTTTTTCGCTAGCTTGCCTTGTTAAGAAGATGTGCATGCACGTGAATAAGTAATACCTATAAGCACACCCTCAGGGTCTAATTAGTATGGGTACAAAGTTTTAGGTTCCTTCCTCTTGAAGGTATGGCAGTCACAGACACACAGACACACATGTGCGTGTATACACACACACAGACACACATGTACGTGTATACACACACACCTGTCTGTCTGTGATTTCTATTTTTAATATAAGGAACCACTTCTTTTCTGTGGTTTTTCACTATCTTGCCTCATTAAAAAGATGCACAGGTGCATGTATGCGAATAAGTAATAATACCCAAGTGCACACCCTCAGGGTCCACTTAGTATGTGTGCAAAATTTCAGGTTTCTAGGTTCTTTCTTCTTAGAGCTATGGCAGTCAGATTTCTTTTCTATGTGGTTTTTTGCTTGCTTACCTCACATAAAGATGTGCATGTGTGCATATGTGGATAAGTAATAATACCCAGGTGCATACCCTCAGGGTCCACTTAGTATGGGTGAAAGTTTTCAGGTTTCTAGGTTCTTTGCTCTTGGAGCTATGGCAGTCACATATTCTTTTCTATTTGGTTTTTTGCTTGCTTACCTCACATAAAGATGTGCATGCGCGCATATGTGGATAAGTAATAATACCCAGGTGCATATTCTCAGGGTCCACTTAGTATGTGTGCAAAACTTCAGGTTTTTAGGTTCTTTCCTCTTGGAGCTATGGCAATCACATACAAAGACACACAGACCTTCAGACATGCCCTTTTATTATTATAGATTTATACAAATTGATTAATATACTAAAAGAACTGTTATCTTTAGTAAATTCAGACAAATTAAAGGTTTTCTTATTTATAATAATCTTACCTAAAACCAAGTCATTAATATAAAGGTTTGAATGAGGAAAATATCTGACTCTTTAGCTTGAACAGTAGAATATCTTCATAGAATGAAAATTATCTATCTAAAGATAATATAACATATATAAAATATCAAAATATGTTCATTAATGTTAATTAGTTTAGATTATTATTACTTAATAAAAGATTCACATAAATTTATCATGCACTTCAACTTATACCAATTGTGATTTCATCATAAAGAAACTGCAATCACCTTGAATTCTTTCTGTCGTAACCTGCAGTAGCTATCATCACAGATGGGGTTAGGCTTCATAGCCATAGTTGGGAAAAAGTCTTGTAGTGCACTGTAGCCTAAGTAATAAGTTACTGATCCAAAACCCAGAAGGTACCTGTTATTTAAAATACACTGTTTTGTTTAAGCACTAAACATTTGGTTTACCTTTCTTGTATTTTTATCCTATTCAAAAACATTGCTTTCATATATTAAACATTATTGTTTTTCTAATACATACTGTTTCCATGTATATATCCATTGTCAATACATATAATCTGAAGCAAATAACTTTAAAACAGCACTGTGAAAATTAATATTTAATTCAAAAACATTATTTATTGTTATAATAAATAAATCAACATACAATTTATTTTTTGAATTAAACAATTTATGTAAAATGCTATTGTACAACACCGTTATATCATTTATACAGACTGTTTGTAGTTAAGTAGAAAGCTACGCAGTGGACTATACATGTTGTGCCCAACACCAGTGTCAAAACCCAGATTTTAGTGTTATAAGACTGCAAACTTATTGCTGTGCCACTGGGAGGCGTTTATAAAGATAAATATATTTAGTGTTTTAAATAATAAACTATGACAGTTACCATAGCAGGCCTAATATTAAACATAATTTTAAATAACGATTTTCTAAGTTTAAATATAAATACTTAAAAATACTTAAGTGGTAATTTGGCCATAATCAATGAATATACTTTTGTTGTACATTTAAATTTTTTTAAAATGTTTGTAAGTTAATAGTTCTTAACTAAACATAGTTCCACATAACTGGAAAAAACTTTTTACATGTAAAATTTTGTATCTGTTTGTTTGTTGAATTTTACAAAAGGCTACTGCAGAAGCCATTCTAATTTTAAGTGATAGACTAGAACGAAGGCAGTTAGTCAACACCACTCACCACCAATCCTTGCAGTACACTACTTAAATAATGGGATTGACCATCACATTATAATGCCCCATGAATCAAAGACTGAGAGTTGAGTGCCCTAACCACAGGCAATGTCAGGTCAAAAATTCTGCGACTAATATAACTTTGAACTAACATTAAAGATACTTTAAATAATCCAAGTTGTTTCCAACATATTTCATAACCAAAACATTTAATTCAACTTAAAAAAACACTGAAATTATTAAACATTTATTGACATATTTAGTTCAATACAAAATAAATGCTTCTAATTTTTTAATAACATTCTAAAATACAAACTTTTCTACTTGCTTTGTTTACATTTAAATTATTTTCCCAACATCATAAATGTAGCACTACCATTAACACAATCTCCATTTACCAACTTTTAAAATAGTATTTTGCTTATTTATAATCAGGTTTTTACTACATATTTTAAAAATTTGTAGAACAAAGTCATGTCAAAAACATGCCATAATGTTTTGGGACAACATGGGACCTATTGGTCCATCTTGGCTGTTCCATCCTCTAAACTAAACCAAAATTCTTTTTAAAAAAATCTTAAAGCTAGCCCTTATCATTTACATATTTATCAAACTTTCTCTTAAACTCACTTAAATTTACTGCCTCCACAACATCAGAAGGCAACCCACTGCAAAGGCCAACGACCCCATTAGAAAAATAAAACTGTTTTAGTTGAAGATGACTTTTACCCTGCCAAAATTTATATTTCTGTCCCCTAGTCCTACTATTCTCACTGTTAAGTATGAAAAAAGATGATGCATAAACACTATCAATTTCCTTTCAATCTCAAACACATCAATCAGAACCCCCCTAACTCTTCTTTTTTTAAGATAAAACAATTTGAGAGATTTCAACCTCTCCTCGTATGCCAACTCCTCCATCCCAGGCACCATTCTGGTAACCCTTCTCTGTTCCATTTTCAACAATTCAATGTCTTTCCTAAGGTAAGGATCCCAATACTGAACACAATACTGCAAATGTTGCCTAACCAGTGACCTATACAATGAAATTTTAACCTCTTTAGACTTGTATTGAATATTTCTGTAGATATACCATAAAATCCTATTTGCCCTCCCATTAGCAACAGCACACTGCTTGGTTGGCTTAAGAGACTGATCAACCATTAAACCAAGACCCCTTTCTTCATAATACTGTTAAGGTTATTCCCATTGAAATTATATTTATAATTCAAATTATGATAACTTACATGCATTATCTTGCATTTAATATAATTGAAATCCATCTGCCATTTATTTGCCCAACTCAATATATGATCTAAATCCTTTTGTAAATCAGCAGCATCCTCTTCACAGCTAACAGCACCCAAGACCTTAATATCATCAGCAAATTTATATAATTTATCGACTATTCCTTCATCTGTGTCATTGGTGTAAATAAAAATGAGCAAAGATCCTCAGACTGAGCCCTGGGGTACGTACCACACTTGTAACAACTCCCTGCTTTCTTCCATCCACCCACTCTTCTTTCCAATTAGCTAACTTATCCTCCACATCTATAGATATATTTTTTACAAGGCCTTTAAGTGGCACCTTGTTAAATGCTTTCTGAAAATCCAGATACACCAAATCTACACCCTTACCCTCATCTACGTAAGCAGTAACCTTTTCAAAGAATGTCAATAGATTTGTAAGGCAATATTTTCCCTGAGTGAAACCATGTTGACTATCCAATAAAATTCTAAACTTTGTTAAATGGTTTTGCAAAGCATCTTTTATCAGACTTTTCAAAACTTTTTGCACAAGTGACGTAAGACCAATGAGCCTATAATTACTGAGACAATTTTTATCACCATCTTTGAAAAGAGGAGTGACATTAGCTAACTTCCAATCCTCTGGTACCTGCCCACTATTCAAGGAATTACAAAACATAGTAGCAAGTGGCTGACATATCCAATCCTTAACCTCC